ACCGGGATAAGGTCTATAGTAGTTGCAAATAACTTGGTTTATTATTAATAGCATACAATTGACTGAAGTAAAAAAAGTTTAGCTAACATATAAAATGTGTGCTCGGGTACCGGCGGGTCATTGTGACAACATGACGTCCAAGTGTTGCTTGCTGCTGGTTGCCATGGCAACCATCACTGCCGAGGTGATGGGCACCGCCGAGGTGATGAGCCATGTCACCGCACATTTTGGAAAAGCTCTCGAGGAGTGCAGGGAAGAGGTAAGGACATAGCAGTTTATTTTATTGAAGTTCCTATGTAATAATTTAGAGATCTCAAACATAATTTTGAAATTCGTTTTATTAGAAAATACCTGAGTAATAAATAATAGGTACTAGTCAATTAAAAAAGTTGTCGAGACTTAGAAGGTTCTGCCCACAGTCAGGATTGTCTGCGGAGGTGTTGGAGGAATTCCAGCATTTCTGGCGAGAGGACTTCGAGGTAGTGCACCGAGAGCTGGGCTGCGCCATCATCTGCATGTCCAACAAGTTCTCACTGCTGCAGGATGACACCAGGATGCACCACGTCAACATGCACGACTACGTCAAGGGTTTCCCTAACGGTTAGAACATATACTCACAATTCTATTATCATTTATGAAACTATTCCAACGTTTTAAAATGAGAAGCTTAGGAAAATTATCGACAAGCAGGAGAAGGAACGGTTTAGTCAGTAAGAGGTTAACACTCTCTCTCGCCTTACCCTAGGTGGAAGAAGTCATTTGATGATTATTTCCGCAGAAAAAGGCAAATTATCGACTTCATTAAGTCTTACTTTGTATAAGATACTTACAATTTATGTAGAAATAGCTGAACAAGACATGGTGCAGAGAATTAGCCGGATTGCAATGGTGGCAGTGAATTTACCTGAATGTGTATCGTTTTACCCAGTTCCATGTTAAACGTTTTAATTGATTTTTTCGCCTCATTACCAAGTCCTAAAGTCAAATCATTAATTTCAAATAGACCTGTATAGGCAAGTTGAACTTTGTGTGTGTCAATCTGTCGATCTGTCCTCTTAAGAAACTATTGGCTCGTTCCAAGGCTTAGATTCTTATAGAGAAGACCGAGCATAAAAATGAATAGTTACTCTTTTTCAATCAATTACACAATAATAATTCATTTACTTGTTACGTCACGTTACCTACCATGTTGTTGTGTATGAAGACAGCCTATGTAGAGTAAAAAATAGGATTTAGACGTTAGTTCCTTGTTTCTTGTGCATTGTCTTCAATATTACTCGTATTTATTTGTTCGTGTCTACTGCCTCCAATAGACATAACTCAGGGCTGACTGCACATGCAAGTAAAACAAAGGTCACGCGACCCATGCACTGCCAGACATATTGCCGTTGCTGAATTTATCGCGAAACTCACCGCGAACGCAAGGGTCGGTAACTTGTTCGCTAATCTAGTTAAAATAACCATTTATAAAGCAAATGTTGCTTTTAATTAATAGCTATACTCCGTGTGTGTATTAAACTGACTATATTTTATTATCGTCTAAATGTAATTCATAGATTGGGTCTTATTGGCTCGTAGGGTTACCAAAATGCATAGTCTAAAATCAATGTTATAACCACGTCCATAGCTGCTGCATGCTAAATAATCTGTATCCACGAATCAGTATGTTCTATGTATCGGCGACAGAAATACAAACTAGGAAAAATTTTAATTACTGTCAAATGTCTTTCCGAAATGTGAAAAACATAAATGTTCTATGAATTTTGTATTCGAAATAGCATGTTTAGTCATACGTCAAACGACATTGTTATTTCTCTTGAATTAGATGAGTTTATCGTAAAGTTAACGAATGTTGGTGTAATTCAAAGCATTTTTATCGTTTTATACGATGACATAATTACTTTTTTAACTGAGAAAAGTACCTAAAGCCTTGGACACCACTGAGCATGACCTCATTCTTGTAACTTTGTTCCATTATAACGATCTGTCTGCCCATCTCCCAGGCCACGTGTTGTCAGAAAAGTTGGTGGAACTGATCCACAACTGTGAGAAACAGTTCGACAGCATGACGGACGACTGCGAGCGCGTCGTGAAGGTAGCTGCCTGCTTCAAGGTCGACGCGAAGGCAGCCGGCATTGCACCGGAAGTCGCCATGATTGAAGCCGTCATGGAGAAGTACTGAGGACCTCATTCCTTTAAATAATGGACCACTGACTGCTAAACTTAGTGATAGGACTGCAACTTGAAAAACCTTAAAAAAAATAAAGAATTGTTTTTAATTTTTATTATTATATAAAGTACATTTTGTTGTGATACTGTGTTTTATTGTTGATTTAACCAAGTTATTCCTAATGGGAACAGTTCAACGTCTCATTAAAAAAATCATTAATTGGATGATGAGAGAGTTTATATGAAATCTGGTCCCACCATCCAAATCCGGTCCTCAGGGAAGTGATCGGCGGCGGCGACCTTTCGCGCCCGACCTTAGTCGAGGCCATGGTGCGGAGTGAGAGGAACTTGGACGCCGTCACCTCCTTTTGTGAAGTAGTCATGCTCGCAAAGAGAGAGGGGGCCCGAATGAGGGAGCAATCCTCCTCCTCACGCCCCAGCAGCCGCAATTAAGCACGGGTCTGCGGTTGGCGAGTAAGGGCAGCTCGCCGCCCGACCAGAACCAGGTCCGAGCGTACGGCGCGTAGTGTTCCGCGCGCGCCTCAAAGAGCCAATAGACCACCACAGATGGGGCCCTATAGGGCTGATGTTCAGCCGGGGTTGCGGGGTAAGCGCAATGAGCCACCGCGACCTCGGCCCAGAGCAGGAGAAGGAACAGGGGGGTTTGGATTTAGTCAGTAAGAGTCTAACACTCCCTCCCGCCCGGCCCTGGGCGGGAGAAGTCATTTGATGATTTTCCCCTCACAAAAAAAACCATCCAAATCCAAAAGCTATCTGTTTTACATCATTGGATAGTTTAATAGAAGTTAAAGTGGCGCCAAGTTCTGAGATATTCTTTAAAATTAGCGACCTGCCTCAGCTTCGCACGAATGCAATGCTGATATTAATTTTGTCCTTTGTTTAATGGATATTATAATACAAAACAAACGAAATAAACCCACTGTGTATTTAAAAAAAATGCATACATATTGATATAGGGACGGACAAAGCGACTTTGTTTTGCGACAAACATGGTGGTTTTATCAGTAGCCATTTAATGTTATTTAACTAATATTAAATTTCTTTTCTTTACATAATATACGTAGTGTACATACCCACTAACTCACGATTACCGAGATTAGGCATTTTGTGATTTTCCCCCACAAAAAAGGGACCTATAAATTTAATTCAGAATATTACCTAGGTGCATATATGTCTAAGTATTAAATAAAATATTAAAATTGTTTTATAAGAATCTTCCTCAGTGATGTTAACCTGTTCTGAACATTACACGCTAGTAATAAAGCAGGCTTGCATCAGACGTTTACACAGCATTGTGTGGAGAGTACGTTTCCTCGTAAACTATGACTGGTGCCTTACAGCACTTCCTTACGACTGTACCACTACTGAATATCTTCTATACACATTAAATGTTATGGAAATCCTGTTACGACCTTTTGTTATCAAGCTAGCGCTGCTTGTGACGTAATAGTGTTCATAGAATTAACTTATACTTAATGATCTCCGTGGATTAATGTTTTAATTTATTCTCTGCAGAATCGTAACCTAAAATGGAATAATGTTTCCAATTAATTGATCTGTACATCATTCACTCATCAGTGTTGGGAGAAAGTTTTATACATATACCGCGAGGTTAACTTCGAGATTTAATTTGAGGGTGACTTCGCTTCCAATTCCAGTTCTAGATCGATTTCAGTAGTATTTATTTGGTACTAGTTTCTGCCCACGGCCTCACTTGTGTGGTATGTTGATAAAAAGCCTATATGTTAATCCAGGGCATCGGCTATCTACATATCAAATTTCAACTAAATCGGTCACGACTAAGTTTTTGCGAAAAGGAATAATATAGGTACATATACATACATGCATTTTCACAAACTTTCACATTTATAGATAATATTAGTCGTCATTTGGCACATATAGCTATGTTTGTAGTGTGATGTTGTGACATTATTATAGACATCATTAATGCAGTGCCCCGACATTGTTTTGGAAGGTACAACTCTCTTTTTAACAGATGAAGCATGTTAATGTAACGTGTCTAACTATTTCACTCAAGTATTCTGCGAAAGATTGGAACTTTCCAAATAAAAATTACTTAATATTCAAGTTGTATTTATTTTTACTTTTCGGATAACTAAAAATGATATAAATGCTTATAGCTATTATTAAACCAAAAAACTTAATTCACAGATTTTAATAAGCTTTTAAAAAAATCATACAACTCGCTTCAAATTAAAAAACGTTAGGGTTGCGCCCCATTTGGTGGGCAACATAGCGATGGATTTTTCTCGTCTTAACAGTATGAAGACACAATATAAAATATACCACTATGAAAATGACCAGTACCAATTTTCACAGTTAGCATATGAGCAAGTAAAAACTTATGTTTGGGTATAAGACAAGCAGCGGTAAATTCGCATTTTTTCATGATTAATCATAAAATGGTGTCCACCGAGTTCGGGAGAAAGGTTTAGTTTAAAAGTTAGTGATTGAAATCCTATTGGAACGAATGTTGTACACAGTTTGCGAACAAAATCTTACAAAATATATATATATATATAATTGTCAAACGACGTTTGTTCGAAATGGGCGAATCCTGCGGATTTGATAACCACATCTCAAGTATCAATCAGATATGTCAACGCGATTACAAATGACAGGCTGTGTCGTGACTAAATTGGATTTCCATGAATGAAGGCACTACACTAATTAAAGCATGCGTGTAATTGAGACGAGGGCCCTCATTGTCACGTCGCCACAGCTTCTAATTAAGACAGCGATTAGCCGCGGATATAAGCGAGTCCTGTCGATGTTGCTGCCACAATGGCGTTCTGTCGATCGGGGACCATGTCGGTGAGGGTGGCGCTGGTGGTGGCCGCCAGTATGCTGGTAGTGGTACAGGCGTCGCAAGATGTCATGAAGAACTTGGCCATCAATTTCGCGAAACCTTTGGATGACTGTAAGAAGGAGGTAAGTTTGGAAAGTGGATTGTACTACAAATATTTAAATGATCTCGAAAGTTTTCCAGTAGACCATTACCGTTTATGCTATGCGTGTTTGCTGTTACCATTCTTAGCCACCTATTCAGTTGCCAGCAATATATGCGAATAGTTTGATTCTGCTATATTCCATCCTATAACTCTGAGTTTTGTGACCTACATATTTGAATAATAATTCGGCGTTCGTTGATAGCTAGCTATCTGTAACACAAACATATAATTAAATATCGGCTCGGCTCCTTATTGTAGATGGACCTGCCAGACTCGGTGACGACCGACTTCTACAACTTCTGGAAGGAAGGATACGAGCTGACGAACAGACAGACCGGCTGTGCTATCCTGTGTCTCTCTTCGAAGTTGGAGATTCTTGACCAAGAACTGAACCTGCATCACGGCAGGGCGCAGGAGTTTGCTATGAAACACGGCGCTGGTTAGAACTTCTTTCATTGCAGTTACTTAGTTTTTATGAATGCAATTTTCCAATATCGGGTTCCGTATAAACATCTCATAAAATACCATGTGATGGCTACTACACGTATCTCTCAGATTAGACTTGGCACCAAAGTCAAATGTACCTATTGCTTGTCAGCTAGTTTTTTTTTTTTGTGAAGGTAGATATAATTGACTTCTATCTCCCTAGAACCAGTGTATCTATGTGTCATATTTTTCTTTTAACGTATTTCATGTTACAAGATAATGATGCATTAACAAAGCAAACAACAAAAAAGTTAACCTCAACTTAGAAGGGGAGAGTGATATAAAAATTAACATGAATCAGCGAAATTTCCGATCGGTTGAAGCGGAAAATTGTAAAGAAAGTGTAATTTCACGGAGATCTTATTGGAAAATATCTCGCGGTAATGTCGTTCTAGGTTGATGCTTTAAAACAAATAGCTATTTAATTAGCACAATAGCTTGGATTTACTTTATTTTATTGTTGGTACTTAATAGGAGACCATTTCAACCATACACACTACGCGACTATAAAGTTGTTCCCAGTATATCTTCTAGCATGCAATACAGAATCCTTCTTTCTTAGTATTCAGTAAAGCATTTGCTCCCTGATCTTCCAGACGAGACCATGGCGAAGCAGATAGTGGACATGATCCACACTTGTGCGCAGTCTACTCCCGACGTAGCGGCGGACCCTTGCATGAAGACCCTGAATGTAGCCAAGTGCTTCAAGTTGAAGATACACGAGCTCAACTGGGCGCCCAGCATGGAGCTCATCGTGGGAGAAGTGCTGGCTGAAGTGTAACTTGAATCACTCAAGACCTTTAAGCTGGCCTTCATTATGTGAGGTCTTCATAAACATATCTTTGACGTCTCGGCTCGTTGAACGGACCCCAGATTAGGTTAGGTTGGTCGTGAAGCATCTCCTGGCTCGCCAGTTCGCCTCAGAGGGTGTGGGTAGTAGTAGGCTGCAGCAAGATGTCAAATATTGTTCAATATACTGTACATCATTGGTGTTTTGTTTTATTCCTAAACCTACCTGTGACTATACTTAACAATAAAGTAACCTAATTAATTGTATTTATCGTTAGCGATAAAATTGCACCTTAACCACCATATTGCAAACCATATTGTTGAATAATATTGATTTCCCTTTTCCTTGCTGACACTTCGATAGTAAGTTGATATAATTTAATTTATAGAATCAGGCGTTAATTTGCGGAAATCCATGACATTAAATGTTACGAAAAATATTTAGTTTATATTTATTCCGCGATAAATCCAGGCTTGTTGCAGGATGCAATCCTACTCCTATGCAATCATGCATATGCACATGCAGCGAAGGTCCCACCATCCCGCCCACATGCATATGCACACGTACAAAAACCACGTTTTTATAACATTTAATTGATATACTTTTCTATTACATATTAATTTTTTTTTCGAAGAAATAAATACCTTGGTTGGTCTTATTTTGATTAATAATAACGTTAAACTGCTACTCCTAAATCTTCTCACACGAAGAAGTCACTACGCTTACTCAAACGGTATCGGCAATTTTAAACAAATATCAATCCTCATTCCTCACGAAACCTTTTTCGCCGTTCGTGAGTGGCATCAAAATAAAATAAGAAAGTAAGTACATATGTAAAATTCGGAAAAAGCAATATAAGTACTTGCCAGGTTTTGAAGCCGCGTGGTTTTCGGTCCAATTAACCGACCCACAGATGGTCCCTGAAATTGATAATGCACGATGTGGAAAAAAGCCGCCATTACGGCATTATAGGTTCTATTTGATGGTTAAATTAGTTTTAGTAAAAGTAATACGTGATTTTAACTGGATTACACTCAGCGTGGTTCAGTATAACTAAATCATATGTGGATGATAAAATAGGCCGTAAATCATTGACATTTTGACAAACCGTGCAATATAATCACGACATCAATTGAAACTAGCTCAAACTTCGTTATTTGATAACGAAAATAATTAACGCAACATGTTTCTCAATTATTCAGAGGTTTCTAAAATGCGACAAACGCAACTGCTATTTTTAAGAAGGAAATATTAAGAAGTTTAAGGCAATGCTTAGTATGAAGACAGTTATTGTGTTAGTTGGCCTGTTGATGTACGAGGCAGGGTCGGTGCTCGGCAAGAATGAGGATAGCGTGTTGCGTGTCATCAGCAGCAGCATCGGAGACACCGTGCTCGAGTGCCAGAGCGAGGTACGTGACCAGTGCCGCGGTAATGGCAACGGTTGTTATCTACAATTCATCAGAAATTAGGATACCGTAAAAAATAGAGACTAGTAAAATTCGCCAACGTCTTATTTTCTGACCCCTTTTGTGTATCTATTTACCCTTCAAATTCTATTTACCCCGTTACCGTACATAATCTTTGGTTCATAAAATCTTCGAATTATCTAATATCGAAGCACTCACAGCCGCCAGTCATTTTCTCACCTATCTGTCCGGTTCTCTGCAGATGGATTTCAAGGATGAAGTAATCCATAACTTTATGAACTTCTGGAACCGAACCAACTCCCTGGGAACCAAGGATTTGGGCTGCGCCCTTGTCTGTGTTTTTGAAAAGAACGCGTTTTTGAGCCCTGATGGTAACACTGTGCTATCCAACAACGTGCGGCAATTCCTTAGGGCGTCAGGCGCCGGTAATGTATACATTCATTCATTCCAGGACACCTACATATATATACGAATCCATAGCAGTGTCAATAGGATAACATTAGTTTGTTTTTAGATGAATTAATGTCGCTGAGGACTTTGGACCTGTTCGAGATGTGCAAGAATGAAGTGAAACAAGTCATTAATCGATGTGACAACGCCCTGGAGTTGGGGAAGTGTTTCCGCTATGGGATATTTCAACTGCATTGGAACCCGGAGCCCCATTACTGGACTCGCAAGGAGGAGCCCAGCAAGATCCCGAAGCAAGTGACTGAGTTGCAGAAAGCTCCTCGGCCGCTTAGTAGAAAACCAGTTCCTGCGTGGCGGAGGCGAACGGACCTCAGACGTATTGTCGGTTACGTTAATAGAAATTGTAATTGATTTAAAGAAATTTAATTAATAATAAACATGATGTAGATTGAAATATGTGCGTGTCAATGTTGTTCCAAACCGAAACATGAGTTTTTCGCCAATTATCACGATGTAATTTCCCAGCTCAGAGACGTAATCTTTTCAGTCATACTCTTAGTAATCAACACCATCCAGTGAGATTTTAATAAGGCACTTGATGCACCCTGCTCAAAGGCTGCTCGGAAATTACAAGAACGTGTTAACTTTGTAATAACCTGTCATTCGCAGACACCAGGTACGAAATCACTCTATCATTACTTCACAAATGATGCGTTGGTGTCAACAATTATACGTGATTGTTAACAAATCTGTCAATTGGTACCGCTATATAAGCGACACGCTTACAGTTACTGGGTAAACCTGGTAGAAATGGGATCGCACAACGTCTTCGTCGCGCTCGTGCTGTTAGCAGTGGGTATGCGAGTGGCAGAACCATCCAAGGATGCTATGAAGTACATCACCTCAGGATTTGTGAAAGTTCTGGAGGAGTGCAAACAAGAGGTAACTACTTGTGCAATATTTAACAGTCATAGGTTAACAATTTTGGTGGACATTCTGCTGAAGTCAGTTCGAGAACACTACAATGCGTTATCAATAAACCACCAATTGAAAGTGTGCCTGTTGTAGCTAAACATGAATGACCACATCATAGCCGACCTGTTCCACTTCTGGAAACTGGAATACGCGCTGCTGAGCCGGGATACCGGCTGCGTCATCATCTGCATGAGTAAGAAGCTAGACCTGCTGGACGCTAACGGGAGAATGCATCATGGCAACGCGCAGGAGTTTGCCAAAAGACACGGCGCTGGTTAGTTGCAGTCTATAAAATTAGAACCGGTCACAATTTTTTTAACAGTTTTTTTAACCTTTATGAAATTTCCAGGTGATGATGTGGCATCAAAGATAGTACAGATAATCCACGACTGTGAGAAGAAGCACGAGCGTGATGATGACGAGTGTCTCCGAGTGCTGGAGGTGGCAAAGTGCTTCCGCACCGGTATCCACGACCTGGACTGGCAGCCCAAGGTCGAGGTCATTGTGAGCGAGGTGCTCACGGAAATTTAGGACGTAGCCGTGATGTGGGGAATAAACCTTTATCTGTTAACATTGTTTTTTTTTTAAATTATGAATTCCTTTCTATATGATTTCTAGTAGTTCCTATTCAAGTCAATGTAAATTTTCTAAACAATAATTTTAACATAAATATTATACACATCTATCTCTTATTTCATGATGTGTGTATAGTGATTTCTGTTATCTACAAATAATAGACTTGTAATGTGATAAACATGTTGTAGTGTTTATTGTAACTACAATGTGAACTTCTCTTTTTGATAGTTCAATAGATATTAAGTATAATCTGACATGTCATCAGATTTAATCCCATATATAATAAATTCAAACGCCGAAAATCTAATACCCGTCTGACATGAAATCTTGCTAGAGCACTTTCTCCTTACCGTGCAGTTTGATGCACACGCACGCGCCCAATAAAGCTATCCTGGAGAATGGGACATTAGGACAATGTCAGAGTCATTTGGCTCGCATGGGTAAAATTATTGTGCGCATGCGCGTGAGCTGGGGGAATATATACGTGTTGTCGTGTGTCGCCGCTTGTAAACTCCTTAGAAGGCGTTAAAATTAAACGTAGGCCTTCATCAGCGTTTACCGTGTAATGGAAATAAATGTTGAGTGCTAGCCATATTGTAAGGCCCCGAGGGTCTTCCCTATCTTTTTTTTTGGTATTGGTTTGGAAAATACTCATGGAGACCCAATGCCCTCGGGGAAGGGTAGTGTCAGACTTTTACTGACTAAAAACCAAACCGGTGTTCCTCCATCTACCCATGTCCGGGAGGGACAGGCATCGCCAAAGCATTCATCGCATCCTCCTGACGGTATTGGCCTGCCAGGTGGTCGGGCGGGCCCCGTTATCCACTGCGGCTGTCACCCCGACCAAAGGACTCCACCACTATGAGGCGCGCGCGGAACACGGCGCCGCCGCCTCGAGGCCTGCTGCTGACAAGACACCCCGAGTCTGTCGTCCGCAGGTCGGCCACCCTACGATGTCTATTGCGTCTGCTGCGGAGGGTCTTCCCTACCTAAGAGGTTGGCTTGTAAAATGTTGTTACGGGATTTTAGTGTTTTTTATACTTTTAATATCTTAATAGTCATGTGTACGTATTAGGAAGGATTTAATCTGGTATTAACAATCGTCATTACAATAAAAAAATTACCGTAACTACTAATGACCATACTTTACCCATATCACTTGAATAGCCACATACCCGAGATGCCCTGTAAACTTATTCCTCCTACACCTGTATTGCCTGACCCTCTGACCTTCCCCAGTCCCGAACAATAAAACTATCCAAGTAAATCGCTTCACACGGCGGGCCCCGTATGCGCCGGCGCACCACGTGAAACTCGATGCGGTTAATTGCCCCATAACTCTGAACTATCGCCGCCATTACGCGACAGCACAATCGCGACGTGCGCGGGCGCATGCACTGCCACCACCACTGAGCCACTGTGAATGCTTGCAGAAGGATGGTACTACCCAGCTTAATGTTACTTCATGAATTATGAAACATAAAGTTACAGCAACCAGTAATGTGCCTACGGCAGTAATATTGTCACTTTATTTCAGGAATTAAATGCTACTGTTATTTCTCATACTTATGAGCTGAGAATCAAACCTAGGACACAACATGCTTCACTTTACAGGCCCTTGTGACAACTTTATGATATGTCATTGTTGATTTTCATAAAATTTCGTCGAATATTAGTAATCCCATGTAGTGCATTACCTATTAATCTATGGTCTTTGAGCAACTAGCACAGTGTACCTTCTGTCCTCCTCGCACAGTTGCCAGGCCGAGGCTAAGCATGCAGCGTTAATCGAACTTTGATGTTGTGATAACGGCGTGAACAGATTTACTTACTGCACCGATACGTTTGTCTCTAAACTGTTCAAGAGCTGCTCTCAAAGGTTGCTCGAGGTGGTTCACCTCCTAAGCTGTGTAGCACAACCTATTTACTGCGACTGTATCTCCATTTTTGACTAATTATGCGTACCGTTTTAGTTACCTATTTGATTAGTGTGTCTCACCATCAATTCTCGCTTCTCACACACTATGTAATGAACAAAAATAGTTCTTGTAAGTAGACACACGTATACAAATAATAAATAAATGCGCAATAAAACAGAGGTACGCGCCACAAATCTGAGCCGGTCTGAAGACGCGTACGATCCGTTAGCGGGATCCGTATAAACCAGCTCGACAAACAATACGTGCGCGGCGCAGTTAAATCTATTTGAACGAGACGCACCTGAGACCGACGCGTTATTTACTTTTATTGCGGAGCCCTAACAGTACGCCACAAGATAATGTTCACAGAAGTTCCAACTATTTTGAATTTGATATAAGTGTGGGAGAGATATGCTTCAGCATGAATGGGCCGACATGATTGGAGTACTACCACGGCGTCACAGAAAACTGGCGTGAAACAACCACAGCTTTGTTTTTCACCTTATGGGTGAGATTGCTCATGGTCCAATCATTATCCCCAAAAATGCTGCACCACACTAAATTTTCTCCTGTGTCGTGGGTGCGTTAATAAACATACAAATTCACATACACATCACACCCAGACCCGAAACAACCATTTGTGGATAACAAAAGTTCATCATTATTTATTTCTGCTTTCTATGATCTTGTGTGTGAGAGTGTGGGAGAGCCATGCTTCGGCACGAATGGGTCGGCTCGACCGGAGTGATACCACGGCCTCACAGAAGACCGGCGTGAAACAATCACAGCGTTGTGTTTCGCCGTGTGAGTGAGGTTACCGGAGGCCCAATCCTTCCCCGCCCCCAATCCCTAAAAGGTCGGCCACGCACTCGTAACTCCTCCGTTGCAGGTGTCCATGGGCGGCGCTGATTGCTTAACATCAGGTAATCCGTCTGCTCGTTTGCCGACCAATTACATAAAAAAAATCTTAAATGTAATCCAAGCATTATTACTCGGTGTATGGTGACGACAGTACCTAGCGCTGAAGGCAGCGGTAGGCAGTCACTGAGTGATCCCACATTTGACATGACTCTGACGTAGCAATTCTATAATTAATTGAAAACGTTAATTTGTAATCCACCTTGTTTTGTTTGTGTTGTTTTTTTTTTAAATTTCTCCTGTGTCGTTGGTGCGTTTACAAACATACAATTTCACATGCACATCACACCCAGACCCGGAACAACAATTTGTAGATCACACATGGTTGGTCCGTGCGGAAATCGAACCCGCGACACGTTGCGCGGCAGCCAGTTGCCCAGCCACCGCGCCAACTGTGCAGTCAAGCCTTGAGAAGGTTGTGGCAAGTTCAGAAGTATATGTGTGATTGCAGGCAAAATGATTAATCTCGTTGATTGAAGAAAGTCAGACATACAAAAAAAGTTAAAAAAAAATCAACATATACAATAACATAAGGAATAAATATACATAATTCAATTTAACGCACACCTACATAGGAATGAACCTTCTGCTTCCTCTCTGTGCAATGTGGGTGTGACTAGACTGCGATATTTTTCCCTATCTTTATAATTTTATTTGTATTTGTCGAGGAAAGTGTTCGCTGTATCGACACGCCCATACAAGAGGCCGCAGGTGCAGGCTATAGCCGATTCACGACGCGTCCTCCTTCATTGAATCGAAGTGTACTTCCAGACATAGGAACTGCTTTTACATAATCTCTTCTACTGCTCACGATGTTTATTGCATTATAAAGTGCACAATCAGAGTGATTTGCAGCAATCTGTTGATCAAAACATTTGAAGCAGACAATTCTGAATAGTCATATTATTTTTTATTGGATATGTTGACGTACTTTAAATATAAGTAAGGAAAGCTCTAGTTTTAAGCAATAATGGGATTTCTTTCCTGAAGATCAATCGGCTCAGTTGATTCACGCGAGGAAGATGTTATTTTCAACTTAAGCAAATCTCTAATATTTATTATACAGAGATAAAAATATGTATAATAAGTCCATTTTGTGTTTGATGTAGACATCTGTCTATTGCTACTATAAATTGATAGCTTACGTTCGTATACGTTCATAAAACCTCATCTTAAAGAGTTAAGTGTGAGAGAGCCAAACTTCAGCACGAATGGGTCTGCTCGAACGGAGTGATGCCACGTCCTTATAGAAAACCACCGTCAAACAATCACAGCGTTATATTTCATCATGTGATTTCAGGAGGCGTGGGGTTTCAGGAGGCTCAATCCTTCCCCTCCCCCCATTTCTCCACAAACACCAAGTCTACAAAACCAAAATCCCCAAAAGGCCCCATAAACTAGAGGTTGTCCGTGGGCAACGCCGATTGCTTACGATAAGGAAAGGCGTTTGCTCGTTTGCCGACCTATTGTATAAAAAAGTAAAGATGAGCAGATAATAGCCCGCCCTGATAGATATGTATGGAGAGGAGACCTATAGTTCAGTCCGGCAAGAGGGCTAGGGCGGGCTGTTTGTAATGTAGAATAAATGAAACTTCAAACTCATGAATTGAAACACTTTAATTAACCAAGAACCTAAAGAGGAAATAAATAATACTTATACAGCTACATAGTTTCACTGAATCAAAGAGCCAGGATAATGATACAACAATTTCACTTCTGGGTCTAGTAGAATGACTCCGACGATTGAAGCGAATTGTGTAAAGGTGTTAGAAAGTGTTGATCAATCAGCGACATGAAACGAAATGACACGAAACCCTTTCCAGTTATAACCCTGCAATCTAGAGATAATCTTAGAACCATTACGAGCTTTAGTTATCGTTTAGCAGAACTTATGATCGTTAACGCTAAATAAAACAAAACAAATGTTGTTCATACGTATAGATTCACTATTGCCCACGCGCCACACAATGTATTGAAACTGATAAATCTACAAATACATTTGTTTCGTTTGCCATAGCATTCTCGATTACAAGTATGTACATCAGTTTTGCTAACGCTGCAGATCATTTTCCCGCGTGACACACCAACAACTGCAGCAGTTTCCCCTAAAATGACATTGTTTCCTGGTTCCCTCGTGTCTACACGGCGGTCATCACCTCTTCCATAATGACCTCCATGTTGGGTGCCCATTTGAGCTCGTGGATCTTGGTGCGGAAGCATTTGGATATCTCCAACACCCTCATGCAATCGTCCGCTATGCCGGCGTGCTGCTGCTCGCATTCGTGGATTATGCTCACCAGCTTCTTGGCAACCTCGTCATCTGATAAGAAAAGATTACTCATTAATGTTCACAGTATTTGATAGTTTTCAATTTTCGACCTAAACTATTTTCTTGTAATTCTATCAAATGTTTGAAGAGAAAACTATCGTTTGTACTAAGCGATGAAGCGATCAAGGATAAGTTACCAGCTCCATGACTCTTGGCGAATTCTTCTGTCTTCCCGTGGTGCATCTTCTGGTCTTCCATGAGGTCCAACTTCTTCGCCATGCACAGGATCATGCAGCCCAAGTCCCGGTTAATGAGCTGGTAGTCTTCGCGCCAGTAGTTGTACATGTCTTGCATGATGTGCTCCCCGACGTTAACCTGCGAGAGAAAGTAAGTATTTATAAACATCAATGTAAAGAAACCTTCTTTATCAAATAAAAGGAATGATTTAATAAATAATCTTACCTCAGCTTTGCAGTCATCGACGACTTTCGTGAATCCCTTAGTCATCTTCATCATGAGCTCCTGCGAGCCCAGCGCGGCGCTGGTCAGGTACAGCGCGAACACAACACAGACAAACCAACATTTTGCGCCCGCCATCTTGTTATCTGCACAGATTGATGTTTGTGTGATGGTTTTTATAGTCGCGCTTTGATTAATTGTTTTAATTGTCAGTGTTTTAATTAGTACGCGAGCGTTTGTTAATTGTGAGCTGTCTCGGCCTAGTACGTTTGATATGCTGTTATTGTTGTGGGCGTAGCATTTGACCATTGTGCTGCATGTTCTACGACTCGTATCAACACAAATAGTTACTCACTTACCATTGAATATTACCTTTAGTAGTCGTATACGCAATTATGATTAAGACTGGTCATATACATAAGTTAATTAAAAGAGATTACCGACATCACTTCCAACTGATTCTTGATTAAAGTCATCAGTCATAGAGTTATCAGGTAGATGTGGTCCGTCATGCGAATGGGTATAATATTCGTATTAAGATATGTAGCTGGGCTCCCTTACATCGTCATTAAGAATGCGCTCCTCGTCTGATCGTGCTATATAACGGACGCGAGACGTCCTTGTGTCGTCGACCTGCGCTCCCTGGAACTTGCACAAATAGCTCGGCTTTACACCGGGGAATGGGTCACACATATTGCGTGCAGCGGTTTATTCACCAATAATACGCAAAATTAGAAATACTTCAACATGAATCATATGTTAAGGAATTTAAAGTTTATGACTAGATTTGATGAGAGTTGATAAGTTGTATATTATTATATAACCTTCTTTTAAAAGGGAAAAATCATCAAATGATTTCTCTCGACCAGGGTGAGGCGAGTTGGTGTGTCATACTCTTACTGACTAAATACTCCCCTGTTCCTTCTCCTGCTCTTGTTTATTATAATAACCTGCGAGACAAAAATAGTGTCACTTAGTTAGTCAGTTTGTGATCGCTAAGCACCTCCGCTCCATGAAGTAACATTGGGTTTTCCGATTTCGATATTCTTAGTACTGGCACAAAGGCTGGAGGTAAGCCAAGTAAATGGAATATGCGTTCTATTAATACCAAGTACCAGTGGTAGTGGTAGAATCACATTATTATTATATTTTCCTTTACAAATTCTACGAGTACTAGAAAGAGGTATGGTTTTATTCCAGTTAGTATATTAAGTAAAGCAACAGTAAGTAAAGTCCACGAAGTAGTTATAGTCTTCCTAGTTATGATGGATCCTGCTGATTACCGACGGAGGGTGACGCGCTGCTTACACGGCGTTAGCCCGATACCCCCCCCCCCCACACACACTTAGCTGCTCACTGTCAGCTCTCGTGTGCGGGTACATTCGCTACAACTTCAATGAACTTGCACGAAATCAACATAGAATGGATGTGGTGTACTCATTTTGAGACTAGTACAGCTTATCTCAGATAATTCACAGTCATTGTTTTCAAATACATTTTGTATATCTCACTATGACTATTAAAAAAAGTGCAGTCATATGTTTTTTTGTTAATTTAAAGTGCGGTCACATTATATGTATGTATGATTCTAGGTTCCATAAACTGACAAGGCAAGTTGTGATGAAGTTAGGTATATTGAAACATGAAAGGATTTTAGGAATTCCAAACCATATTTAATCTAATAATTAAAAGTGAATGTGTAATCAATAAATTATAAGCTTCATTTGCATTTATTGCAAAGTTTTATTCACTTAAAGAGATTAAATTCTAATACAACTCACAGTTTTATAGTTTATGTGCGGTTTAAGTATCCGGTTTGGTAACTTGTAGCGCCTGTCTTAGAAGTTTGAGGCGAGGGTACATGAAGAATGTTGATACACAAGTTACACATAACTAAGTAGAGGAATTACATCAAAAACCAGTGTTTAACCGTCACGGCATATCATGTCCTGTCGTGTCGTGTCGTACGCGACAATGTGGTCACACGCGCCGTGGATCCGTTACGCTAATACAGTCACATATAACTCTTCATTATCCCGAACGCCGTCTACCTAAGTATTATAAGTACGTTTAGTACCTACACAGTACACGGCTTATGTTTTAGTAAGCTTATTAGTCTTACTAATTATAATTAACGGGCTGCCTGACACTGCATGCCGTCCACTGACTATGTATGACGGTGCCTAGTACATAAGTAGTTGCTAGGTCACATCTCAGGTACTCCAAGTGCTTATTATTCCAACATCAGCTCCAATGCAGGCTCTCTGTAATTTTCTAAGATTTATTTTCTTTCCTTTTTCAGTACTTAATTAAATGAAGATATGAAATTATCGGCGAGCATGCTCTCTTGTTGTAATTGATGCTTGTAATTTATATCTCGTAAGGGAATTATGTTGTAAGAATTAACTTTAAGTGCTTCTATGTATACCTAGTGACATATTATACGCTTGTCTCTTTTATAGATGGCGTATCCTTTGTAAAAAGTACAATCAGCAAATAATGTTGATGCGTTATCGCGGTACAATTGTAAATGTTGCACATGACTCGCGTCGCGGACATCTATTCCATGTAGATACGTGTGTACGTAGGATGGAACATCACAAACGATTGATTCCGCCGACTGATTTATGTGTGTTTCCACAAAAGCTGCGGTTTTAGCTGAACGTTACCGTGGCAGCAAGAATTATTGCCGCTGCTGCAGTGCAGTGCCGGCTAAACTTATCTCCGCTTGTATCACTTTTATCTAAAAACAAAATGTGTTTTACTTTATTTAAACTTTTTTCTCGCTTCGTATTTTCTAAAAATTCTTTATTCTTTTGTTTCAGGTAAGATCAATTGTATGATAAGCTGGCGTTGGCGAGCGCACTTTTTGAAAATATAAGACTGAAAGCGGTTGATGTTAAGGTATGTTTGAAATAGAATTGCAACTGACCCTTCAAGCATAATACAATACCATGTTAAGATCTTAAACTTAAACCTTTGTTTTCCTAAGAACCCTTCGCAGAAAGTTACACCAATTTCTTCTAAATCGTGTCATCTTCATCCGTTTGAATCCCCGGCCAACATTTATCGCCAGTAAATCTATTGAATTAGCGACATAACGCGATGTCCACCTGGTGATGTGCCGGGGTTAATCCCGCGGGATACCAGCCGAATCCCGCGCTGAATCCCGGCCGGGATTGAGACAGCTGTGCGTAACGGCTGCCCGCTGACTGATAGCCGGCGATTTGTCTAACTAACCCTCAATAGAGCTAACAATTGTATAGACTTGGCAACGTCTGCGACCCTGATAATTGACGAGTAAGAATTTATAAGGTTTATTTTCTAGGATTCGGTATTACGGCTTACCCATGATTGTGATAAGCATGTCTTGTGTGATTAATTTTAAGTCTTATTATCATAAGTAGAGAGTTTTTGATAAATTACAAATTGGTTTTTAACCCACTTTACACAGATTAAATCACACAATGAGATATTATCAGCAATATAACATCCCTCACAAACTAACGCATAAATAAATCTCCGTCTATATCATCCCTCCCTCTGCGTCAATAAATAGTTCCTTAAACTTAGTAAACGTCTTGCGCTTATCTTAATAGTGGTAGTCGGACGGACAGCCGGACCGGGCAGGTCGGGGCCGGACACCCGGATTACTGACCAGGGGTCGCTAGATACGGCTTGTTGCGATTTAAGTGCGGATCATGAGATATTGGAGGAGGTCTACTAGTCAAGACACTTATGTTGAGGATCGATTTAAGTATTTTTTAAGACTATTAATATCGCTAATTCTTTCATGTAAGAGCCTGTTTCTTGTATACGCATGTAGAGACTAATAATTATGAATTATACAGTTTCCAGTGTCCAGTAAGCTCATAATGACATATAGTTGCACTCTGTTATCCCATAGCACGGCGGGCGGCAAAAACCGCGTGCAATAAATCGAGGCGACAGCGCGCGCGTCGACGCGATGCCGCGCGACAATTTATCGGCGCGATAATTATTGGGAAATGTACCGAGCGCCCGCTGCCGCTAATGTTACGATCATCGCATTCATACAGCCATTACACTACATCACTTTCACTTTATATTTTTCATTAAAATCTCCATCATCGATATTGTCAGTTCACAGATCCATCTAACCGTTTTCTTAAAAGCATCATACAGATAATGTTTTTACGGAGGTCATAAAATAGGCTTTTTGTGCAATGTTAAGAGAGCCTTAACTAACCAATAATTGAACATAAATATTACCACCTATACTATTAAAGTGTGTCTGTAAGGTGCATGTATACATAAAGTTATTATCGCTTGTATGATTGATATTTGACGGCGCTATAGACTGCTATAAATATCGAACGTATTTTATTTGCTTTCATAAAAATCTATTTGCTTTGGACGTAGATTTTTATAATACCTATTCAAGTTATAAGTACCTACGTAAATAAGTAATAACTTATTTAATTATTAGTTTTTCCATTTTAAATTTTAACGAAACGCGTTACGTGTTTCAAGTTCGATTTTGAGGTCGAACAAAGCTCAATTGAAACAACGAAACAATGAATTTATTTTTGCAAATAGGCCATAAAACAGCACTTTTACACGTCAAATTATATGTGAAAAACTAGATGAAGCCGGCATTTCCTATCTGACTACACTGAGAAGATATGTCGAAACAAATTCAGAGGTCAGTCTCTTTTTAAATCCAGACAATGTAAAAATAACATAATGTGAGAGAACTGTGCAAGTTCATTCTGTAGTGGTCTTTTGAGGAAAGAACTACACCAGTTTAAGTGAACCCGTTTTGAAGACAGGCGCGCAAGTGCTGTTGAGTTGTCCGACGAAGAATACCGATCAAAAGAACATTTGGGTGGGTTTTGGGCGCAAGTACTCAAACTGTCAGAACGCAGATAACTGTAGTTAAAAAGCGCGGCAAAGTCTCACACGGTCCTGACACTAACAATAATAGAAAATAATAAAAATTTCAATAAATAACTTTATCTCAACGGGCCTCTGCGAGTTGGCTTCGGCTCCTCGTATGCCTTCCAAAGGTCCGGGACCCTGGGGTCCCGTGAAAGGAAAGAAATTTCAATAAATAAAAATATTTAATTATATATGTCAAATGAAAAAAATAAAAACAAAATATAATGTCACAATAGGTGTTAAT